AAAAAAAAAAAAAAAAGAAAAACTCTAGGAATTGTGAGCATTTTCTCTGGCGTCTGTCTTCGCCCCTCTCTCCTCATGTGATTTCATTTACAATTGACTTGTCCTTTTCTGCCATGTCAGAAAATCTGTGTCTATCCCCAGACTAATTTTCCAGAGCTCTGGACAGACACTCTGACTGTTGGGCCTCTCGACTTGGATGCGTGCATTTATATCTGAAACGTTATTCGGCGAACTATTTTTCATCCCAAGCTGGTTGACTCACTTCTTTCTCTCAGCGGCCACATTATTCTCCACATCACTGAGACTGTCACTCCCTCTTCCTCGTCCCCACATCTGGTCCTAGTGACCCCAGAATGTCTTTCCCTACTCTCTGTCCATTTCTCCTGCCTTCCCTGGAAACCACGCCTCAGTGACCACCCTGCTGGGTGCTCCGCCAGCCCTCTAGCTGGTCTCCCATCCCACCTACCACACACACCTAATGGAGTCACTCTTCAAACCCTGGCTGTGGTGCTCAGCGGCCCCACCGCTCACCGAGTACAAGCCCAGCTCCTCAGTCTGGCTTCCACCTCCCTTAGCAGAGGAGCGCCCCCTAGTGTGGTGTGTGCAGCAGCCAGGCCAGATCATGCACAGATCCTCCACTGCATCATGTCTCCCACCCCTGCTTTGTTCCTCTCGGCCCTCCAGGCGCACCTGCCCTGGGAAGCCATGACATGCCCAAGTGTTCCTTACTGCCTCCTCACACCGCTCCGCGGAGCCCTTAACCCAGAAGCGATGTATCACCTGCCTTGATGTCATTTGTGTGTGCCTTATCTCTTCTACTGGGTGGAAAGGTTCCTTTTAAAGAAAAAAAATGCATTTTTTAATTGAGATACAATTGAGATACAGTTGATTGGAAAGTTTCTTGGAAGTGGGAGGAAGCTAACACTGAATACGCACTACCTGCCAGATAGGCTCTGGGCCATGTGTGCTTCGTAAATATATGTTGAATGAGTAGAGTGGTTCTTGTCATTCCTTTTTGCTTAAAATCTACCAATGCTACCTTCTGGGCATTTAGAATAAAATCGAATGTGTCCGTAGTCAGTGCAGGTCTCCATGATCTGGCCCGTCTGCTGTGCCAGCCCCACGGTGGGCCTCTCTCCCTTGCTCTGCTCCATCCTCACTGTCCTTCTCTCTGTTCCTGAAACACACCAAGCTCTGTTCTCATCTCTCTGCCTTTGCAGATAACGTTCTCTCGGTCTGGAGTGCCCTGTCCCCTGTTCCCCTTCTCGTGCCCCAGACCTCAGCCTCCATGCCACGTTTGCAGAGAAGACTTTGTCACCCAGTTGGAAAAAGGGCTCTTTCTCTTTTCTTTTTTGGCTTGTTTCCTTCATAGCATTTGTCATAATTTGCGATCATTTTATCCTTGACTCACAGCTCCCATGAAGGCCCTTCCCTGTTCATTTCTCTGTTGTATGTCCTATGCTCACCGCAGTGCCTGGCGTCCAGTAGCATTAAATAAATATACGTTTATATTACTGTTCAAAATCATGTAGCCAGGAGGGACTTAAACCAAGTCAGCCTGGGTTTATCATCTTCTGCTTTGCAGATAAGAGGTGCCCAGTTAGTGCTTATTGAATGAATAATGGAGAGCAAAGACATGGGGCTCTTTCCCCCACTCTCTTGCTTTGTTTTTTCATCCTCTCCCGAAGTCCCAGGAAAATGGCATGTGTCTATGACTACAGTTGGAACCTGGATCCTGCTGTGGCTTGCAGGCCTGGGGGCCAGTTCAGACAGGCCCATGGAGGCTGGCAGCTCCCGGCCAGATGCCACTTCCCAGTGGCCGCAAGATGCTTCCTTCTCAGGAGAAACAGGATACGGGTGAGGTGGCGGTCACTTTGTCTTGGTTTGTGCTGACCCTGGGGGAGGGAGGGAGGCGATTAGCAACCAGGGGAGAGGTGGTTCTGGCCGGGCATAAGGAGTCCTGCCATGCTGCCAGATTTAGAGGTCTTCACGTCTGCCCCACCAACCCCCACCTTCCTTCTGTCCCCTCATCTTTAGGTGGCCACAAATTACCAAAAGTAAGGGCAGAGAAAAAAATTCTTAAAAGTTCTATGGCAACTGAACTGTAGAGAGAAGACTGAGACCAAATCTCTGAGATGATGAGTCTACTTTACATCCAGCCTCATTCAGAGCGAAAAGCTCTCGCAGTGGCTTCAAGGCCCTAATGACTTACCTCTCGGACTTCGTCTACTCTTGTTTCCCTGCTCGCTGTGCTCCAGGTACTCGGGCCTTGCTGCCCTCGAAGACTTAATGCACGCTCTTGCCTCAGGGCCTTTGCATAGGATGTTACCTCTGCTTGGAAAGTTCTTTCCACAGATCCGTAGGGCTTGCACCCTCCTTCAGGTCTTTGCTCAAACTTCAGCCTTCTTGGAGAGGGTTCCGTGACCACTGTGTTTAAAACGGCAACCCCTGCATTCCCAACACTCGGCATTCCCTGTCTCCCTTTCCTGCTTTATCTTTATCTACAGAGGGCACACATCACCTTCTGACATCGCTATATCTTTTGCTTTTTATTGGATTGTCTGTGTTCCCCCAGTAGAATGGAAAACTTTCTAAGGGTGGGATTTGAGCTTGTTTATTCACTCTCCATCCTCAGGGCCTGGGGTGGCAGGCACATGGTGGTGGCTGCTCAGTGAGCCTCTGTTGAACAAACGAGCTCTTGTCTTTCACCGCTAGAGAGGGTAAAGCTAACAGTTCAGCTGCAGTGAGTTCCCAGTGACCAGGGAATGGGTGAGTCTGGGTCCTCTGCCATTGTCTCCATCAGCATTTTTGAAAAATGAGTTTTTCTTTCTTGATGTAGCCTGGAGAAAACATCTTACTGTTGGATATGACTTTCTCTTTTGTCATTGTTTTTATTTTTAAAAACATTCACGTGGGTGGGGGGGTGCCTGGGTGGCTCAGTCAGTTAGGCGTCTGCCTTCAGCTCAGGTCATGATCCCAGGGTCCTGGGATTGAGCCCCGCATCGGGCTCCCTGCTCAGCGGGGAGTCTGCTTCTCCCTCTGCCTCCGCCTCTCCCCCTGCCTGTGCTCGCTCGCTCTCTCTCGCTCATGAATAAATTAAAAATCTTAAAAAAAATTCACATGGGTATATACATAATGGAATATTAGCCATAAAAAAAATGAAATCTTACCATTTGCCACGACGTGGATGTAGGTAGATGGTATAATGCTAAGTGAGGTAAGCCAGTCAGAGAAAGACAAATACCGTAGGATCTCACACAAACATGGAATTTAAGAAACAAGACAAACAAAGAAAAAAGAGACAAACCAAAAAACAGACTCTTAACTCTAGAGAATACACTGCTGGTCGCCAGAGGGGAAGTGGGTGAGGGACTGGGAAACAGGTGAAGGGGATGAAGGTACTTTTATCATGATGAGCACTGAGTAGTATATAGAATTATTGAATCACTATATTGTACCTTGGAAACTAATATAACACTGTATGTTAACAAACTGGAATGAAAAAAATATAATAAAAATATTCACATGGCTCAAAATTCACAAGGTTAGGAAGGGGATGCAGTGAAGAGGCTCCTTGCCCTCTGTGGTCACCCTGCCCCTTCCTCAGAGAGCCAGCGCTGCCGGCCATTTGGTGTGTGCATGAGAAAATGGGCCCGTGCGCGTCCCTGGCCGTGAGTTGAGAGGAGTAGAGCACAGCCATAAGGCTTTTACACCAGGGAGGATTTCTGTCCATCAGATGAAAGGAACTGGCAAGCAGAGAGGTTCTGAAACCCCTTCTCCAGAGGAATCTTCTGTTCAAAGTGGGCAATGTACCCAGCATAGCTTCCAGAAGGGCCCTGAGATTCCTCAGTTTTGTTGGTTCCGATGGAAGCAAAGAAGAGAAGAGAAGATGGGAGTTCTGGGGTCTAAGGAGGCTGAGGATGGAGAGGGTTCATCCTTGTTGGGCACAGAAGCAGCATGAGGGCAGACCGCATGGCGCCTCATGTCTTGAGGCATTGTCTTTCCCTCGATTCCAGAACAGCTCTCGTACCTCTGTCCTAAGGAGTGCCCGCACATTGTCTTTCAAGCTGTGTCGGGGCCCCTGGCTGCGGCCACCGCTTCCATCCTCACCAATCCCATGGATGTCATCCGCACCCGAGTGCAGGTAAGACCAGCCTCCAGCCTGGTGAGGAGGGTGACCTGCGGGCTCCCCAGCGCCCCCCTGACCTCTCTGCATCATGGCCTTCTGGTCCAGCCGGCCTTGTCCTGACCCCTTCCTGTGGTCAGTTAGCATCTTCAGAAACCAGTTGAGCACGCTGAAGCACCTAGTGTTTCCCTCATGATGTCTGCGGACTTGCACGCCCTGCTCCTGTCCTTGCACACCCTGCTCCTGTCCTTGCATGCCCTGTTCCTGTCCTTGCACGCCTGTTCCTTTCCTTACACGCCCTGCTCCTGTCCTTGCATGCCCTGCTCCTGTCCTTACATGCCCTGCTCCTGTCCTTGTACGTCCCTGCTACTGTCCTTGCACATCCCTGATTCTGTCCTTGCATAACCTGCTCCTGTCCTTGCACGCCCCTGCTCCTGTCCTTGCACGCCTGTTCCTGTCCTTACATGCCCTGCTACTGTCCTTGCACGCCTGTTCCTGTCCTTACATGCCCTGCTCCTGTCCTCGCCATGCCCCCCTGGCTCCTCCCTGCCTTGCCTCCTGTTAGCCGATCAGACACCTTTTCCTTACTTTGCAGGTCTGTGGTTATTAGAAATATATCCATTTCAGTGAATTCCCTAAGTCTGGTTTCTCCACTGGGCCGAGTTCTCTACAGACTGTTCTTGAGTAGGCCTCACAGACTGGGCCATGTGGACTCAGCAGAGATGCTGACAGAGCCCTTGGTAGTGCTGTCCAGAGATGACCGTCCCTGTCCTCTCAGCCCAGAGATCGTCCCCCAGCACCTAGTCCAAGGAAATAGAACCTGAGTATGGGTGTGTCACATACAAATGGCGCTCTGCCGTCTAAAGCTTTAGGTGGAGAGAATGGGGGATTTTGATGTCTGAGGCGGGTAGAGTAGGAAGACAGCTGTCCAGGAGAGTGGGGTCACTGGTGAGGGCAGGAGGGGAGGAAAAGAAACTCAACAGCTTGGGGGTGAGGTCAGCTTCCCTGATACCAGGATGCTGGGATGGAGGTGGCTGGTAAATCTAAAGGTATATTTGTCCCTAGGAAAGAATGCTGCCCCCACACACTTTTGAATGAATAAATTGGCATTTGATGGGTTTGCAAATCATAAAGTGCACAGGTTCCCTCCTCGTTCTCTTCTGAGGCTTGTTTTGAGTGTTCCCTGAGGAGATCCAAGGGAAAGGACAGGTGTCTACTTCTGAGGCACCCCCAGGCGGGAGGAGACCAAGCTAGCTGAGCGGCCCTGCCGCGGCTGTGGATACGTGGGAGGGCTGGGGGCAGAGGCGGGCAGAGGAGAGTACTGCAGAGGAAGAGCGGAGTGTGGAGGAGGGGGCTACGGGAGGTGGGGAGGAGGGGGGTGATGCTCTGAGCCGGATATCACCTTGTGAACATCATCCACTCTGGGGAAGTATGGCAAGGAGAGCAGGTGTCCTGCACTGGCTGAGGGTCTGAGTGGGGCCAAGTGTGCTTTGGTGGCAGGGTCCGGGGAAGGGGGCAGGAACAGAGAAGATTCTTGCCTTAGCCAAACGTCCAGTGTGGCAGGGAGCAGGGTTCCCGGGGTGAGGGGAGGGCTCCCAACTGCGGGGACTAAGGGACTGAGGTGGTTGGAATGGAAATGACAGACCGGCAGGGCCACGAGCACCCGGTCTCCCTGAGGCCAGAGACACGCAAGCAGGGCAAGGACAAGGACCGCAGCTGAGTGGCCGATCTGCTGGCGGTAGTAACAGCTCGCAGTTACGGGGCGCGTGTGCCTGTCAGCGTTGACTGCTCAGAGCAACCGCAGGGGTGGGTACGCTCCATTGCTGCTTACATGGGAATGGACTGAGGTGCAGAGAGGTGACTGTGTTCCCTGAGGTTGCGCTCTTAGTAAGCTGGGGAGCAGAATTCAACCCAGGCAGCCTGGCCCTGGAGCCCACATGAAGCCCTGTGCCGCACTGTCCTTTACAAGCACAATCCAGCCCCTGGACCCCAAGGCAGAGGGAGCCTGCGCCGAGCGACTTCGACTGCAGACCGTGGCCCTCCACTGTGTTGCTTTTCCAGGTTGAAGGCAAGAGCTCCATCATCCTGACCTTCAGACAGCTGATGGCAGAAGAGGGGCCTTGGGGCCTCATGAAAGGCCTCTCGGCCAGAATCATCTCAGCCACACCCTCCACCATTGTCATCGTGGTGGGCTACGAGAGCCTCAAGAAACTCAGCCTCAGACCTGAGCTGGTGGACTCAAGACATTGGTAACCCGTGGAGGGGAGCGACCCCCGCTGTTTGCCACACTACTCTGGGGTGGGGGCAGCGTGGGGAGGGTAACACCCCCCCCTGTGTCCCCACCACATCCGAAGCCCTGCCCTAGGCCGGTGACCTGTCTGGGACAGGGCAGAGACTCTGAACTGCTCTTGCTAAAGAGACTCCACACCTGGACCCCCTGCTCCCATTATTTTTTATTTTCTTGCCAAACTGGGCTCCCTCGCTCAGTCTGGGTCCTCAGTCCTATCCTAAGGAAACCCACCGTCCCCACCAGTTCCACCCCACCCATCCCCTGCGAACCCTTCTTCTGGCTTCCCCTGCCATCTGTGTCCCTGAGACCCTGACAAGAGCTGTACATAGAGCTTGCTTATTATCACTGGTCTTCCTCCCGGGCTTTCAGCCCAGGTTCCATCAGCTACCATCAGCCCTTTCCTGCTTCATCTCTCAGGCTTGCTTGTTTTTATTTTGGGACTGAGCTGCCCACCAGACTGCTCTGCTTTTCCCTGCCACCGGGGGGGAGGGGGGCACGATGCCAGGTACTTCTGCACAGGGAGTAGGAGCAGAAAAACCTCTGGTTCTCCAGAGCACTCGTCCTCTCTTTGGAGAGTTATTAGGTCGGGGACAAATGTTGATACTCTTATTTTGTGTGTGTATTTTTTTAACATCTGTGAACTAGGTACTGTCAGTCCTGCTGAAGCACCAGTCCTGCAGTCAGAGCCCACCCCTTTCTCAGACAGGTGGAAAATGTGGCTTTTCCCTCAATCCCAGTTACTTGTCCCTTCCACGTTCCTTCAGAGCCAGCAGCCCCCGGACGCACAGGCCCGGGATGACTAGAGGGGCGGGCCCAGTTCTGAGTAGATGAGGCTGCCTGGGCCTGCTGCCCCCAGGTGGAGAGAACAGCGGCTCCGGAGCAGCCCAGTGAAGCTTGGCCCTGGGCAGTGGGGCCGCCCGCGTCTACACCCCAGTCACTGGGACTCACGGACACACAGGTCTCACAGCGGGAATCTCCGAGTCGTGGAACCACTGGTGTTTCTCTTTTCTTCATCCCAGTCACGGGCCTCCGGAGGGATTCTTGGGAGACAGTAAGGAGCGGGGCAGGAGGTCACCCGCACCAGGACCGCTGCACTTACCAGCCCGACACTGCCCAGCTGATCTGGTGGCCGCCCAGCACTCCTGCCCCACGGCCCGGCCGCCACCAAGCCTGCGATGCGGGTGCGGCGCCCCCGGGACAGAAGGCCTGTCAGGCCCTGCACTCGTACTGCACACGTGTGGCTGGAGGAGCCTTCCCGCCTCTCATCGGTCCCATCCCTGGGAAAGGCCACGGTGCCAACTTGAAAGGTGCTAGCTACCTGAGGCCTTGACACTTCTTACGGCTGCCCCCCCTTTCCGTCGCTTCTCCACCTTCGCCGCCACCACCGCCCGTCTGGGCCTCGAATCTTCGAGGGTTAACCCCCTTCACCCACCTTCGGTTTTGTGTCCCCTCTCCTCCTTTGTCAGGTGTCCCCCAGTGTCTGTCCACTAAGGGTCAGCCCCCCCGGGGTGCACAGGTGACTCCGAACCCCCTGCCCCTCCGTCACCCACCTGCCCCAAGAGCCACCAACAGGATCGAGGCCAGGGCCCCTCCGCTCTCCCCGCGCCTCAGTCCCACACCTCCTCCCTAGAGGCCCGTCTGCGGTCCGCCCCACGCGGGCCGTGTGGTGGCAGGAGGCGGTGTGCTGCCCCGCCAGTCTCAGGAGGGGGGGGTTCGTGCCCTCAGACCGCGCTCCCCGAGCTCCCCGCGCGGCGGGGTGCCGCACCCCCCTCCCGCCCTCTCCACCTCTCCCTCCCTCGCACGGCGCGCTCGCGGTCCGGAACAGGGAGCCCTGGCCCCCGCTCCCCCATCCAGCACGTCAGGCGCCGGGGTCGGCCAGGGTTATGCAGCGCCGGGGTGGGGAGCGGACCAAAGGCCACGTCAGCTGGACTTGGGGCTGAGCTGGTCCGTGGCCCGAACTGGACGGAACATGGGACACCGGGCGGGCGGGCACGCAGGTACAGCTGGCGTTTGGTAGACTGGACTCCTGGGAACATTAGCGGCGGACATTCACTGTTGCACTGTACGAAGTCTCTGACGTGTGAGTAAAAGTTTTTATTGAGCCCCTGAGCTTCGGCTTGCTCTTACTCGGCCTGCCAGCCCGGGGAGGACGTGCGTGCGGAGCGCGCGGCTGCCGGGGCGGCTCCCCGCCCCCGAGCGGCTCGGTGATGGACACCCGCCGCTTCCAACCGGAGGGGCCCGGGGCCGAGGCTGGCCAATCGGGGGCCTCGGTGGGCGGGGCGGCCGAGCCCGTCAGATTTGGCGGTCTGGCTTCAACATGGCCGCAGCGCGCAGCGTCAACGCAGAGAGCGGCCGTGAGGAAAAGGGGCCTGAGGGGTCGTGTTCGGAATCAGTGCCCCCCGGCGCCACCATCCCGAGGGTGAAGCTCCTCGACACGCTGGTGGATACTTTCCTCCAGAAGCTGGTCGCCGCCGGGAGGTAAGGGGGACGAAGCTGTAGGCGCGCGAGAGGCCTAGCGGAGCGGGCGCGGCGGCGGCCTGGTCACGTGGCCTCGTGCCCGGGCGGGGACTGGCCGGCGGG